GCAAATCGTAAAAGCCGACTGAGGGCCTGGGTTTAATGGTGTCCTATATGTAAGTGACATTCTGACTACCTGTCACTATTTAGTGCACAAGTTATACTAAAATTTTAATTAAAACGTTTGCTAAACGTGTTTAAGTGGACTTGTCTTTTCAAATCTCTGCCTACCCCATTGACTTACAAATAAATGGACGACAAGTCTCATACAAAAACCACGAAAAAAATGTCCCAAGTCAATCTATTTAAACGTAGTGACATGTAAAGGAATATGAAAAAGCTAAAACATTGAATTTAAATTGTAATGTCATTGCAGTACTGCCTAATTTTGCTTGCAACAATTGAAAGGCGCAATAAAAACACCATATTCAGCTTCTATTGGAAACTTACCAAAATACACCATATGTAGCTTCCAGTGAAAACTACTTGAACACAGGTATAATGGAGTAAGCCTTTATTATTTATAAATAAATTTTATACGTAAATGTTGAATTTTATACAATGCCATTTATTACGAGCTAGGGTGTCTGACTTTTTTTCTTTAGTTCCGAGAAGTACCCGATTTCTCGAGTTATTCGAGAATTTTTTTAAAAACCGTAAAAAATCAGCTCAATCAACTATAAAACTAAATGTGAACTTTTCGAAAGTTGTTTTGGCCTGGGTGTTCTGAGTTATGCCCCGGAATAAATACCATCGTTCTTGGTCCCAGGTACGATTCCCAGTAGAACCAATTTGGGAAATGAACTTTTGTAAATTGGTTCTGCTCTGGGATTCTGTTGCTCTGATAATCATGGGGAGTATGTACAGAGAGTTCCCTAGTTTCAAACCAGGTGATTGTCTTACAATAGAATACCAAGACCAGAACCATTTAGAAAAGTTAATTTGTTAAATTGATCCTACCGGTATCGAACCCGGGGACTTCTCATCCAGTGCTCACAGTGCAAACCGTTAGGCTATCAAGGTTGTTACTATTTGTATTATTATGCAGTGTTTTTGTTCACTCATTGATGTAATCACATACCAAAGCTATAACATTATGGTCTTTTATCAAGCTTGCATCAGCTCTGGTTTCCTTTCTTTTCTTACCATTTTCTTAATCCGTTCGTACATAGTACTAAAATTATGCTGCGCACAAAAAAGTCACCACTTTTCTATATGCCGTAGTGCTTACATTGATTCAATATAATTATTACGGTTTATCACTGACGACGGTTGATTCCGCCAACAGGCATAGTCGTACTGCTCATAATTCTGCAAATGTTTCTTGTGCATGAAAAAGTACGGCTATGACGGTAGTAGGGTATTTGCCGTTGTGAGATAATTACAAAATTAAAATGCGCGATATTGATTGCGCAAGAGAAACGCTTTCCAAAATAAACCCTTAGGTACTGATTAATAATAATAATTATAATAACGCACACATTCAACATTGCCCCGCATTAGGGAAACACTGTGCCGCGGGTGCCATGGACACACATATAGACAACCACAAATTACACCCAAAGTCACGAGAGAAATAAATGTAGGCCATATACATATTTCTCCCGAAAAACCTAAAAAATTACTTTCGGGATTATGGAAGTTCATGCAAACGTTATTTCGGGCAAATGTATTTTCGGTCTTCTGATTCGTAACCCCGAGCCGTAGAAAGAGTACAACAGTATTTGAAAGTATTACTAACATGTATTAAAAAATATTTTAATAATAACATTAGCATCAAAGCGACTCTATGAAATTTTTGTTCTAAATATTTCAAACGCTTGTGTATCAAACAATTGAAATTGACGTGATGGGCCTCGTTCAGTCTTTTACGCAAGCAATGAGTCGGAAAGAGACAGTTAGCTATTTGATTATTTTGATTGCTTTTGTAATTTATATTTACGATTAATTTAAATATAAATTAAATACTATGTATACTAGTGCATAAAATAACACTTTTAAATTATAACTATGATAACACAATGTAGTACTTACTGAAAATGTGATATACCACCCTGTTTTTTCACTTTAGTCGAGTAATTTTTACAAGGTTTTACTACACAATACGGCATCATTGACATGACGTGACTGACGCTCTGTATACGATTTTAACGTCCTGTAAGTTCGGATACTTTTTAGCGCGGACCCGACGTCCATTTATTTGTACGTCAATAGGAGACAGGCATGAAGGTAGTATGTATGTAAATTATTGAATGACTTACGACAGCAGGATGATATTTAGATACAGGAAAAAAAGAATTGTAAGAAAATAAGGTACTTAAGTATTATAAGTTGTCGTATTTACAAAAGCATAACTAATGAATTAATTATGGCGTTAAGTAATTATAACGTCATAATTGAAGGTTCATGTCATACAATGTAAGGTGATAAGATAAAATATGAATTGTTATTCATTGTATTACGTTACAAGAATAATTATTAATATAATCAAAGAAAACATAAAATAATATATTACTAAAACTAATTTATGTTACCAATTTCACACGAAACGTAATCGAAGAATAATAAACAATAAGTGCTATCTATAAACGTAGTTAAAAAAGTTATATACAAATAATATTTGTTATACTGATTAAGATGACGATCTCAAATCTTCCCAACCCTAGTGTTACACGTGTCTTCGACAAAAAGAGACGTTTAATTGTAAGATCATAATAAAAGAAACAGACCTGTCAGAAAGACATCAACGAGAGATCCGTTTCCTTCGTAGTTTTTTAGTGATAGCCATTTTAATTTGACCTATGCCAAAACTTGTAAATAACGTAGTTGAAATCCGTCTTTTTGAAAGTTTGAGGTCCTGGATGTTTTTCCACATCATTTCAAGGCGCAGATGGTCATTTTTATAGTTCGTTTCACCAAAACCAGCCTAACAATACGGGAATATCAGGAAATGCGCACGGGTCTGATATTTGGTCCTAAGTAAGTGATGAATTTTTGCTAATTTTATATATGATCAATTGTACGGATGTGTGGCGCGCGTCAGTTGCCCTGTATGCGGCATATATTAGGAGGTTATCTATGATCCACGCCTTCAAAAGACTGATATTGTATATGTTTATCAAGGAACAGATCCGAAGTCGATTCTATACATGGCCGCATTAAGAATTTATAAATATCGAGTTCTTGGGTTTTCGCGATTGTTACACATAGACTGTGAGTGCGGTCTGTCTTATATTGGACAAACGAAGCGAAGTATTTGTACCCGCGTCAAAGAACATATAGCTGATGTCTAACACCGTCGCGTAAATAAGTCTGCAGCTAGCGAGCATGTCATGGATAAACCTAAACATTCAATGAAGTTTGACAAACCCCAGGTCCTTGCAAAAGAAGTCCGTTATCTACCCGGGATGCTGCGAAAGGCCATTGAAATTAAAAAACATCCTAATTTCAACAGGGAAGATGGTTTCTCCGTACCACCAGTTTGGAATCCAGTATTTCCTCTAATGAAAAATCCAAACAGACATACGACTGCAGTACTAATTAATATGTTTTACTTTATTCTAATTTCTATTATTAATTAATAATAAATTGAACTTAATAAAAATGCATTCAATAAAATAATTTGTAAAACTTAATGTAGCGAAAATTGGAATGTTTTCTTTGTAAAATTAAAAATAAGGTATTTAATTAATAACTATTGTAACTATAGTGAAAAAATAGGGTGGTTTGCATTAACATTAGACATAACTGGTTGAAGACTGTACCACCTCAGTCAACCGTGACCATGGAACCTGTAAAGGGCCCGAAACGTCGGTTTGTTTGAAAAAACAAATATACGCGATTTAAATCCGGAAAAATAGCTTCATTTCCCATTTATAAATAGGTCTCAATATTTTTACACTTTTGTTACAAGTTTCTCCCAATAGCTTGATCACATCTTACTTAAATTAAGCATTATAATATATAAACAATATTAAATAATCATCACAATTATTTTATAATTATTTAAGTATGAAATTAATAATAACTTTCATTTTTTGGAATAGTCAAAGTGCTGTAGTAATTGCTTCTATTCATATTGATATTAACTTAGAGATTGTCATGTATACTGCTTGATGCCGCAAGTTCCGGAAGGAACTCCGGAGCGTCATTACATTTTACTACAATACGTTAGTCATAACTTTCAATTATAATTATTTAATTAGTCAATTATTAAACACTGAAATTGTATAACATTATAATAAACACTGAAATCGAAGGATGCAATTAGACGTATTCGTTTTGAAAGTAATAAGTATTGACATTTTAATTTTATAATGACAAAAACTGCCTTCGTTGCCGAACGGTTACCACACTGGTCTGCCACGTAGAGGTTCCGGGTTCGATTCCCGGGCCAGGAGAAATATTTGTACGGCCTGCATTTATTTCTCTTGTGAGTTTGGGTGTAATTTGTGACAAAAAAAAATACGCCGCTAGAGGCCACGAGTAAAGAGGGTTGTAAGATTTTGGGCGGGGAACTAAAAGGTGTCTTGTCGAGCTGTTTGGTGTAAAAAAGGAATAAAACGGATTTCAAGAACTACTGTGCGTTTTCCACTGCTTTTCCCCTGAGTTTTAACACTTTATCTGTATGAACAAAGACGTAAATTTTTAAATATGCAATGGTGAAAATTATTATTACCTATTAAGTTTACGTCTAAAGTTTTGTCACTCTTTTCTTATGAAAAAAAGGTTAAAAAAGCAACCAGAGAAATGGTGTCGTGACCCTTCTCCTGTTACGTCATGGGGTAAAACAATGACAATTACGAAATAAAAAATGATGTGAACAAAAGCGACACGAGAGAGGGTTACAATATTACGTCACAGCACCGTTGTAAGAACGTGGTTATTAAATTTCGATCATAATATGTATATCCAAAAGGAAGAAACTGAATGCTAAATGAGATTTGGCATGTCTGCATCAAATAACACGAGTTTTATGTACGAAATAATTCTTCCGTATGGGAATATCGGTATATTTGTTTTTTAAGCTTAGCGTACTCCATTAAAAGTTGTGTGTGACTTTTATAACGGTTTTTATTGCTGATAAGTGACACTTAACTTACACTTGCTGTTACAAATTCGATTAGTGGTGTAGCAAATGGTAGATTTCAGAGAACACCCTCGTCACGTAAACTCAGGAAAGAAAGTTAAGAATATACTAAAGTAATAATAACTTAAAATGATACATCGCCGTCGTTTTACCTTAGTTTTACTTTAACTATTTGAGATTAACATTAGTATTAACGTTATAACTACCCGGGGAACGCTTTCTTCAAAGCGCCCTCAAGATCTACTATGAGGTCTTCTGGATCTTCGAGGCCGATTGAAAGCCTGATTAGATTTTCAGTGATACCCATCGCTTCTTTGACATGCTTATCCAGTGATCCATGAGACGTCAAGGTTCTGTAAGTTTAAATTCATTTAACACATATAACTTAATAGCAATAGGTTAGTACTGAGCTTATATGATATATGTAAAGTGCTTCTATTTTCTGAACGTCTCTCGGCGAACTTCGTGTCGTCGGGTTTTATTCAGTTGACCTTTGGTGTAGACCGGACGCTTTCAGTCGACTTGGAAGTACATAGATTTGCTATTATATTTTCTTATTTATTATACAATGGGAGGAAAGCCGCTAAAGACACAGGCACGACAGATAATTTACAGCGTGTAGATACTTGCATTTCTTACGTTCAAGAAAGACAACAATGCTTATTTTCAAAAAGTCCAAAAACGTGTTTCTGTAGCTTGTGGTGTTTTAATCGAAACAGTAAAGAATACCATTGTTTGAACCGTACATGGACAATTTAGTATATACCTGTTCGAGCAGCGCGGAAAGTGATTATTCCATCGATGGCGAACATGCTAACATAGATATGTCAGATGAAGAAATGCGTTCAGATACGGACTGAATTGAAATGATTAATAATCGGAAAAATATAAATTTTTTAGTTATATAAAAGAAGCACAATTTATTTGCTGTATATTTTTGTTAACTTGCTTATTGCATGGAGTAAATGTTACTAAAAATAGGGAAATAGTTTTACAGATCTAAATAGTTCACATGGAAATGAAAACAAAATAACAATGAAGTACGTTCAAAATTCAAATTATTATACATTTTAAATATTGTAATAATTATGGGCATGGAAATTAATATTCGTGTGCATTCGAAAATCCGATGATTGCCGAGAGACATTAAGAAAATAGAAGCACTCTACATGGCTATTTTGAAGTAAACGTCGACGTGTGTTTCAAAATATTAGTATTGTTTTAAGACATCATCTCGTCTAGGCATTCAAAGACTTTTGATGTTATGTTATGTCTACGTAAAGAACAGACACAAGTTTTTGGCACTGTTGGGAAAACGCTGCACAGCAGTTAATAGTAATAATGACGATGATGATGACGTCTTTACTTACGGTAGTCCTATTAAACTTTCAAATCCTCCCAAACTTTCGGCCATTGCGAAGATCTTCACTGATGATAGAATAATATATGATTCGTGTCTACCTCCAGAGTGGCTGAAGCTCAATACTCCAGAGTGACCCCTCGCTTGCTTTTTGAAAAGTTCATGGTTTGGATGTGACTTGAGACCTAGGCACACACACACATATATACTATATAATAGACTGATAAACGGTAGATTAATTTATTATCTCTATCTCTCTATCTATATAATCTCAAACCGTTTCGGATTTTATTATGTATATTTTGATGTATTGTTTTTCTAATGGGCCTGACATGTTCAATAATGATCAAATTGCCCTGAACAAAGAGCTGAAAAATCTCAAACAAAAACAAGATCAAAAGCTTTCTATTCATAACATTAGGTTTATATACACATCAAAAGTGTCAAGGAATCAAGGTACTTTTTATTTAAACATTTAATTACCCTATTAAAATTAAATAAACATATTTATGTAAATGTATTAAATAAAATGTTTTCGTATGTCTAGATTGTCGAAGTATCTCTGCTTCGTATTAATGAAGACTTTTTGGGATATTTGCTAACTGTTGGATTTTTGACCTTAGTTTATCGCTAACATTAAATTATTAAATCATTATTATCATTATTATTATTAATAATAATAATTATTATTTTTGCAATTAACGTGTATAACACAATCGCATCGATTATGGAACTTCGATTCGATTGGATTCATCCAAATTTCGTTGTGGAATGGCCACACACGTCTGTTGTAATAGGTAAATAAGATTTTCTGGTAATGTACTTTATAAAATTTTTGAAATTGACCATAAAAAAATCCATTGGTGCTAAAAAATTTAATAAAAACCATGATTTTCATTAATTCGCAAAAACGTGCTTGATCCCTAGACACTTATGATGTGAGTACATAGTAATGAAAGTGAAAACAGTACATGTACTAATAAGTTTACTGTGTTGGCTAACGTTAGCGATCGTGTAAAATATCTGATGATTTTATGCAAAGCCCTACCGGCTAGAAAACGATACAAATCTCCATATAAATATTTTACACGGTCGCTACTAACTATTAATATTGTAAAGAATGCTTGAGGTGCAGTACCTGGATGGAAAACCCTGACAACACGTGCATGCGTCTCCAAATACTTCGCCACTTCTATTGAGTTCCTTTGATGTTGTTCCAGTCGTATCGCTAGTGTTTTTAAACTTCTGTTTACTAAATAACAGTCATGTGGCGACGGTATTATTCCGGTGCCTAAAAATATAACAGTCGATGAATTAACAACAAAGAGCAAACTTTTGCAAAATCATATTATTTTACTTCGATTCATGGATCTTACAATTTTGAATATATCGTAGTCTATTTTTTAATTCACTGTCGTTTATAACTGCTGCTCCCATAATTACATCGGAGTGACCGTTCAAATATTTCGTCAAAGAGTACATGGATATATCTACTCCAAGTTCAAGTGGTCGTTGAAAATATGGAGTAAGAAATGTATTGTCAAGCACAACAATTATTTCTCCACGATCATGTGCCAACTTCGCTATCTTTTCAATGTCAAATATTTTTAATGTGGGATTAGTCGGAGACTCAAACCAAAGCATCTGTAACAGAACCATAGATCAATGTATCGATTGAATAAAAACAATGTAGCTATAGATAGTGCGAGAGTGTCATAAATAAACTCAGCTTTAGTATAGGTTAATAAGAACATTTTGGACATATAACAACATGGACATTTACTGCGTGTAATTAAGTTCTTATGATAGACCTTGAGCCTTACTGAATTTGGGAAAACTGGCGAAACTGAGCATCGCATTCGTCTAGAGTGGAGTACCTTTGGCAAGCTGTCTAAAGTGTTCAAGGGTACCATCAACCTCAAATGTCGTCCATTTAAGCATGCCATCTAAACCACAGAACGAACCAGCGGATCTCACGAATTTTTCTATGTGCTTGTTGTCGGGTTATATTTGGTTTTCAACGACTTTAGAAAAAAAACATTTCTCAAATTTTATACATATCGTAGATAAGGTTTTCCCATTAAGCATATATAAATATGCTTAATGGGAAAACCTTGTGCTGGGAAGAAGAAACTCATGGGCACTGACAAGACAGACAGTGCAAAAGTTATAACAATAGAACGGGCCGTGCTGGGTAGATATCTATCTCTGAAATTGGTTTAGAAACACAGAGATCCAGAGAAGAACGAATCTGATCGAAGTAGCAAGGTCATACTTACTGTGTATGTAAGAGAATGCTTCGGTAGAGACCCAGAAAAAGTTGAGCTTGTTGATCAAAAGAATTGAACCAGATGGATGGCGTACATAGAAAATATCTACACTAAGCATTGAGTGAATAGAGGAAAAAGATGAAGAATTTAAAATTAATTTATAAATATTTCTATAGGTACGGTGGGTCGCACCGAAATACCTATACAGTTATGTATTAAATGTTTTTTTAAACGGGACAGTACGGGGAAATCCGAAAATACAAGAAAACTGTCTTTGGAACCGTTAAGTATTTTCTGTATAAACAATTTTGGTACAACCAATTGAAACCTGTATTTCAAACAAGTATGTAGGACCGAGGAAAGACTTCAAACAAATGGAACCTGTATTTGACTGTACAGGTACGCTTTGGAGATAGGTAACAATTTTCAGCATAATTTTAAGCAGTTTTGACAACAACAACTTTGGACATGGTCCACCATAAATAATTATGTCACTTGAAATAATAATATGGGTAAACACAATAAGTAAATAATAACGAAATTATCAATAAATAGCAAATAATAAGCTGATAACAAAACATAAATAACACGAAATGGATAATAATTAATCTATCTGAATAATTGACTGTGATAATTTGCAGTAATAAAAACAGTTACTTCTTACAGATGTGAGTCGTTTTGAGGTTAGATAAGAATTACACAATAATAATGTATGCTTCACTGCACGAGTGACATAACGAGCAAGATAACATATAACGGGTCGATACTAGATGAGATAAATTAAGATAGACAAATAATATAAACGATTATTATCATAACAACATACGACTAACATCATATACGATGTTAGTCAATTTAAAAGATAACAGATATTATTAGAATTTCGTGACAGAAAGAATGCAAACACAGAAAAATAACACACATGTTACATGGAACATGTCACATTATGATTTTCAGGTACGAACCTTAGTATTGTTCTTAATTGCTCTGCTTATGTTGTCATATTGATCAAAATCCGCAAACGTTACTTCAACACTTTTTCTAGAAATATAATTTCTGAAAATAAAAGATTATTTTTATATATACTATTAAAGTGCTTCTGAGTATTTTTGACAAAATTGTAGTCTATATTCAATATTAAACAGCAAATAGCATATCCTGTTCTGCATTTTGGACTTCGCATTGTTTTTTCTTGATGTCATTCAGTGACATTGCCTCAAATTTTAAGTGTAAATTTAAATTTTGTTTTTATAATATCAAATGACGGGACGAATAGGTCGTACCCTGATGGTAAGCTGCACGCCTGTCCATAACAGTTGCAGTGCCACTCACCCGTCACCCTGAGACTTAAGTTGACAAGCCTCAAGTGCCTGTAATTTCACCAGCAGCCCTTACCCTTCAAAACCGGAATACAGTAATGCATAAACATTACTGCTTGGCGGCAGAAATAGGTAAGGTGGCAGTACTTCCCTGGACCTCACTGGACGAACTCTTTCACAAGGAGCTCTACTGCTACTACATGCTCTTGTCTGTACGTAAATATTTCAAAAAATGTTTGGATACCAAACTGCCTTCTGTATGTCGCGTTCGTTATAAGATGACGTTGTAACAATAATCGTAGCAAATACTATATACTGTAATGTAAATGTAGTGTAAATGTCGTGCGTTTTAAGACTCTTCATTGCGCTAAGAAGTATTTAAACTTCAAGGTGACTGCGATGTCAGAGCCATGCGCATTTTCCCTCTAATGACGCAAAGTAAGAATAAAAATGACTCGAAGCTACGCTATATGAATAATTTTGATATCACAAATAACATCCTTAATTATATTAAATTAAAACCTGTATTAACTCAAACAATCGCCTGGTGCCTCCATAAATATCCACGCTAGCGACGATGTGATCTTCGCTTGACAGAATTGAGAGGATGGCAGTCTGTGCGCCTAGACCTGATGCGAATGTCAATGCATGCTTAGCCTCTTCGAGTGACGCCAGACATTTTTCTAGCATGTCTCTTGTAGGGTTTGCTGTTCTGGCGTATGAATATTCATATTTCTGAAAACAGTCAATGTACAATATTTATTCCAATTGGAATTCCAATTAATTCAAGTAATCAACCTGAGATAGTTCGGCTAAAGATATTGCTGATTTTTAACAGGTTTGTAATGTATAATGCACTGTGAAGTGATCACGCAACTTTACACTTCACAGTACAATAGAGACTGAGAAGCCAGAAAAGGTTCTTTAAACGTGTCAACCCGCTGAGCCAGTTCAGACGAGGTGTAACCCTTATAGCGAAATAGTACCATCTACCTTTATCCCGCCTTCTAAGGGTATTATTCCTCTTGGACATAAATTGCCACGGCCGATTAGTTTGTCTCTCAGTTTGGCCGGAGTAAGAGCAATTTGTTCAGGTGGGGATTTTCAAATAGTTCTAATGCTGACTACCCATGGCCCGAAGTTTCACGAGTCACGCGAGCTTGCTCCAACGTACCATGGGAATAGTACGCCCGTACAAATCTGCACGACGCGACTCGGCTTGTGATATCACGGGCTGCTGGAAACTACTTAACTTGGATTGCTTGTGTGGTGCGATTCAAACGACGACCTCACACTGTACCCTGCATGTCCTAACACCAAGGATTTAATAGCGGGTACTAGTGCGGCCGGCGTCGCTACGTTCTGATCCACAATAGTATAGTGTATACCATAAGAAGAAATAGGTTTGTAACTGTAAAACTAACGTTTGTTGGTCAGCAGGCAGCCCCAATAGCTAAATCAATATTGAATCTTTGAATTGAATTGTATCCCTATGAAAATACAGTTAGTACAGTGTAGTTCACCAACTGTTTAAGTAATAATTTAGTTCACTCCTCCTTTTTACTGTTAATTAGAAAGTAGTGTGGCAACAATATTTTCATTCCAAGCACGCAAATCTCAGTTGTTAACGCTAATGTAACAATATTGATGTTGACCGTGATACAATGCGGATTATTGTCATCGAGTAAACTAGCTAGATGTTAGATAGGTTGGCATGTGGTTGGCACGTTTATTACATTTAACATCTACATACATTTCTCATAAGGCTTTTCACAAAGCATTAAGGCAACTTAGTGACCTTCCTCTGAACGTTTTCTAACTTGATTTTTTATATTTAATATGTTTGCTAGATGCACCACAAAAAAGCATGTGTTAGCAGTGGCCGTTGTGAACGTTGGAAAGAAATTATAAGGAAATACAACAAACTTAGCGCATATGATTTACGGGCCACTTGTCAGTATTGGGCTTACACCTATGTTACCAGTATACAATCTTTTAATATCTAATTTACCAAGAGATTTTCGATGAAGGAAAACGTCGCGATGAAACTTACGTTCACAACCCTTGGAAAACGAGTGAAGTCCCCCAATTCGCAATGGGCCTGGAGGAGTATGGCTTAAAACACTCGCCAAAGAGGAGACCGGTGCTCAGAAGCTGTGGGACGTATAAATGGGTTGATGATGATGATGAAGGGGTGCACGAAAGGAGCTTCCCGCACGATGTAGCAGCAGTAGAGCTCCTTGTGAAAGAGTTCGTCCAGGGTAGAACTGCCACCTTATCTATTTCTGCCGCCAAGTAGTAATGTCAGTATTACTGTGTTCTGGTTTTAAAGAGTAAGGGTGCTGGCGAAATTACCGGCATATGGGACTTGTCAACTTATGTCTCAGGGTGAACGGGCGCAGTGGTAGTGTCTCTCAGATCTTTGCAATTTAAAGCTCAGAGTGACACTGTAACTATTATGGACAGGCATGTAACTTACCGTCCCGTCACTTGATGTTATAAAAAAAACAAAAGGAAAAAAAAACGTACCATTACTTCCCTGTACGTCCAGCGCACCCAGGGCAATAATCGGCTAATACCTTACGCCGATTGGCAAATCCTTTTACCTCGATGGCAAGCATTTTAGTGTATTCCATTGATGCGACAAGAAAAAATAAAGTGTTACTATTAGCAGCAGTAGAGCTCCTTGTGAAAGAGTTCGTCCAGGGAAGTACTGCCACTTTACCTATTTATGCTGTTTTCCGGTTTCGAAGGGAAAGGGTGGTGGTGAAATTCCATGCACATGGGACTTGGCTTATGTCTCATGGCGATGAGAGCATTGGCAGTGCCCCTCATATCGTTTCGATTTAAAGATTGAAAGCTCAGAGCGTCGCTGCAACTGCTACGGACAGGACTGTCGCTTACCACCAGGCACACGATTTATTCGTCCTGTCACTTGATCTTTCATGTCTTGTTTTGTCTAACAAAAAGTGGTATGTTACTAAAGGAATTTCATATTTATACTACCATACCACCCCTTCATGACTTGTTTTTCTGGTTTGCCTGCCAGGTCAGAAGAGTAATCGAAAAAAGGAGAATTATTGTTCTTGGTTATCGATTTTAATCCAGTTTCCGTTATTTTCAAATTTTTCTATTAATTTCTAAGAGCAACGAATATTTGGAGTTCAGTGATGAGTGTACATAAAGGTAAGCATAGCATACAATGGTATGCTGTGCGGAATTCCTTAACATTTTTAATAATATTATTATTGATATTTTTTCAGTTTCATTTTCTCAGCCTGTAATTTTTAACCACACTTACAGACTGAAATCAAGAAAATGCATTATAGTGTATAACTATAATGCATTGAGGATATACGGTAATAAAAGAACATTTTGTCTTCTTCTATCTGCATGAACTTTTTAACAATTCGGCATGTATCACATTCAACCACATTTTTAACTCCGCAAGCTTTCATGTCTTGTAAGAAAAACATTTTTATCATTAATTAATAATTACGAATTAAAGTTCCAAATATAAAATTCTAACTGTTAAAAATTCTAATTTCACTTTATGTGAAAAACGTTTTTGCGTGTTTATTTACCGTTTTAAGTTTATTAAGATGGTAGACATAAACAGAATAATTTATATTTGTTTTTGAAATTCAAATTACTTCAACATTTGAAATGGTATTTAACAAACCGTAGGTACAGATATAGCGAGAGAAACACTCATTATTTCTCGAGCCAATTATTTTATGTCTTCATTTGAAATGTGACATGAACATTTTCTAGTTGATATCGAATTGTTGTTTAAGTACATTCATAAGTACATGTACCATTTCGATCTCTACAGCACATAGGTTTTAAATAGCTCAGCTACTTATATAAAAATTATCACCACGATACATCGTTTGGATATCTATTCAAACCATATTTGTATTACAAAAACGAGCGATTCGTTCTGTGTACCGTCTAGGCTCTCGGGTTTCTCTCAGAGAGTAGTTTAAGAAGACTGGTATCATGACTGTGGCATCACAGTACATTTACTCAAATATTTTATATGCCCGTAAAAATATACATAATTTCAATAAGAAAGAAGATATCCATAATATTAACCTTAGAGCTAAGTCCAAACTCACGGTACCACGATTTCGTTTAACCAAGGTAAACAACTCTTTTATGGGGAACTGTATACGTTTTTACAATAATATTCTGGAGCATATATTAAGTTTATCATTTCCTAAGTTTAAAAACTACATTAAAAATATTTTGATCGTAAAATCATATTATAAAATTGAAGACTACGTGTTAGATAAAGATGTATGGAAAGACGACATGGCTCCAGAATCCACACAAATTTGATTCAAAGTATATTCCATAGCATTTAAGTTTATTTGAAAAGAGCAATTCCTAGAGTTTCTTGCTCGTTCTTCTCAGGGAGGTCAGCGTAGTGAACGAGCAGTAGCTTAAGTGTGACGTTTTCAAGTGTAAATTTATTTTACCTATGGAATAAATAATCTTTGACTTTGTCTTTGACTTTGACATCATCGGCTAAATTTGAAACCCTCCGTTTCTGAACGAAATACCTTTTTTACTCTTCAAGCATAATATCGGGCTATTAAAGCTTAAAATAAAACTTATACATCTTTTAGTTATAAAACAATAATATAATCGTAGATTGTCATATAAGTATTTCTAGTAATTCTGCTTTTTGTGCAAAAATTTACATTAAAGGAGGTTACCAGGCTTACTAATTTAGCCGACGACATGAAACCAAACAATTTCGAA